AGGCAAAATTGATGTGTAGCCAAAACTTTGACAATTGTGGCAATAATAGCTACTTTTGAGAAAATACCAATAATACACAGAATTTTGAAAATTTGATGACACCATTAGTCAAATTAACGGAAAGCTTACTTGGACACCAACACACACTCTCTATCGTTTCCACCTCAACATTCAGCGACAGGTGGATGATACGTCATTTACAAAAGTATTTTTTTTAACTCTACCTAAATCTTAAAAAAAAGAAATAAAAACCCAATCCCCTTCCCAATCTCATATGCTCGTCTTCCCACCTCTCTCCATCTATTCCTCTTCTCGATGACCTAGAGGGTCGAGGGTTGTTCACCCCCCGGGAGATCGCCGAGATTGTCAAGCAGAGGCGGAAATTCGAGTACAGGTTGAAGCACCCGATTCCTCTAAGTCAGGACTAGCTATTTGACCTACATAGAGTACGAGACCCAACTCGACAAGCTTCGTCGCCTTCGCAAGAAATCCATGGCCCGAGCCCTCGATAAGAATAAGGATAACAAGAGGATGAAGCTCTCGGTCTCTGACTTTGTCGGAGTGTCGAGCAGTGGCGGAGGTAGAAGTTCAAACCACTCATATCCTATTCTCATAATGTAAATATATAAGTATTTAATTAAGAATTATTTAATAAAAATTAATTATACATAATTATATCATATTAATTCATTCATAGACTAAAAATAATCGACTATAAAACCATTGTTTTCATTAATAACCATGAAGAGATTTCATATTGTGAAAGAATCGCAAAAATATTATAGCTGGCAAATAGCAGAGCAACCGCCCAGCTTCATCGTTTCATCTTACCCGCCATCGTTTGAGGGTTTCGATCTAAAGACCGGGACCCAGGCAGCGACTCTAGTGGTGTTGGAGCCGTCGACCAGAGAATTTTTTGTTTTATTTATTTATTTGTTTTTATATTTCATAAATCAAAAGGTCCAACCTCTTGAAAATTTTAAAATTTAATTGTTATTATATTATATTATTTTTTTAATTAAATTCACGTGGGAAATACGTATGGGACAAAAATCATCATATCGGACGATACGTTAATCTAGTCAGCACGTTAACTCACACTGTCAAAGAATTGGAAGGAAGTGGCTATTTTTTCTATTTCGCCAAAAGTGACTATATTTGACCAAACCGTCAATGTTTTAGCTACACAGTTGTATTTTGCCATTATTATAAACTGATTGACAAATATAATGAAGCGTGAATCACTAATATTTAAAACCGATTTTACAAAACATTACAAACAAGACTAAGAAAACATTATAATTTTTTTATAATATTGAATCTATGTACTATGCCCTATAGGATTGCATTGGAAAAAAATATACGTCATCCATTGCCAACTCCATGAATTAAACTAGCCAAGCTATCAATGTACTATATGACTCTAGTTTCTCAAATGATACAACTCATCACAAGTTTTCTTGCACACAATCCAATTTATGTGTCTCATGCTCCTCTTGCATGGGTCTTATGGACGAAGATGCAACCAATGTTCGCAGCATGAGGTCTCATGTACTAATAGAGAGTTCATTTGGTCATACCTCATGGTGACGGTGATTTAGAGGGAGAGTAGTTTCTCTCGACTTTCGAACCTTCGATGAACATAGGGTTAGAGTTAAGAGCAATAACCAGCTACTTCTTTCCTCTCTTCTTTCTCGAAGGAAATGTCTTTGATCAGATGAATCAGAAGTATACCACTCCTTTACTTAATAACTCGAGCAAGCATTTTCTTTTTAAACTTTTTGTTTGTGCCAACTGGCTCAGGACACGAACAATGATATTTGTTGTGTGGGTCGACTCGTAATCCGTTCGTCTGATCTCGTCGGGAGGGAAGAAACCTGTGAAAGAGTCGGGGTTTAAGCTCCGACAATCAAGTCAGTGTATGTTTGTGGAGAGAGTTGAGAGAATAGATAGAGAGATAAAGTGTAGAGAGATAATAGAAAGTGGAAAGTGAGGAGAGAGGGCCGAAGTCCCTTTCTTTGGAGGGCTTCAAGCCCTTATATACCTGTAGCGGGTACCGAATGTTGCCATCGCCGATTGTGCGCTCTCCTACTTAGTCTGTGCACGAAGTATTTAGTAACACCCCCAACACTTTTTGACTTTGTCCATGGTTAGTGAAGTGTTCATGCACAGGAAAGAGGTCGAGTTTTGGAAGCAGAACGACCCCGTCAAAAATTGGCGCCACCTAGTCCTTGGACTCCAACCCCCGAACATAAACACACACAAATTTACCCGAGCCAATTTAATTGGTTGAACCCGATTTTGATATTTTCCAAAAACTCCAAAACTTGTGTGTATTCAAGCCGTTTAGATGGCCGGTTACTGTTGGACCCGGTTGAATCAATGGCAGGATAAGGGTTTAACAATCTTGCTCTACGCAATATACTTTTGTTTTCATTCAAATGGATGTCATTCCGATAAATCATGATTAATATTTTTTCATTGAAATATATAATCCTCTTTTCCTTCGTTTTCTTTTTTTCGTTTTCTTGATGAATATGGATATAATTAATTATAAGGAAATATAGTCTTTGTTTTATCAGGTCAGTAGCCGCGAAAATTAAAAGGAAGCTTTGGAGAGGATGATCGAGTATATATATATGATGACTTTATATATACACATGATTTTTTCCACCATTCCTCTACCGTTTGAGTCTCATGACTCATCTCTCGTGTTTTAGGCCGGTTTCACGTTAGGTTGTTCTTGTTTGTGATATTTCAGTTCCTAGTACGTGAAGGAAGGTCTGGGCACGAGTTTAGGGTCGATTGAACGAAGTTGGAACGATTGACGAAATGCTAGGGAAACCACACGGTCAGACCTAAATACCACACGGCCGTGTGACGTAGCCGTGTGAAACCCCTTTGCGCGGGCAGACCGCACTGGCCGTGTAAAGGGTCCTTTGTGGCCGTGTGGAATTCCCAGAGAGCTCACACGGGCAGGCCATGATTTCACACGGCAGTGCGGTGTTGGCCATGTAGCGTGCATGAAGGCATTTTAGTGAAACACGACGTTTTATACTTCCATACGGGCAGCTGCCAATTCTACATGGTCGTGTGGCCTGGCCGTGTAGTGGCAGAATTCTGGGTTTTAACCCAATTTCAAGTCTTTTTGAGGGGGGGGGGGGTGGATTTTCAGAGCTAGAAAACGAGTCTTAGAGATAGAAAGTGCGAAGAACACACCCTAGAGGTGATTTTGGAGCTGGGTTTCATCAATCAAGCTTGGATTTCATTCTTGGAGTGAAGATTATCATCCCATAGCAAATTCTTCCCATCTTGATGAGTATGACTGCTTTGTATTCTGTTTTTTTCCTCTCTCTATGGAGTAGAACCATCTTTCACTTGGATATAAAGAACCCTAGTTCCATGTGTTAGGGATATCGATTGTAATGAGGTTTGGATTGTGATACTGCTGGATTATAATCGATTGAAGTGTTTTGATTGAGTCAATTGAAGCCTGATTATCTTGTTGCTATAACCTGAGATAGATAGAATCTGATTAGGTTATTGTGGAAACGTGAAAGTTTGTTATTCTAGCTTTTTCTTTACTGCATTCTCTCTTTTCTACCTTTGCGTCTTCACAGGTTGTGTTTGCATTCTGTGTGCAGGGGTAGTGTATGACCCGTAGCCAGTCAGGCGACTTACTGCCGTTAGACCAAGAGCTTGAATGGACTTGTAGGAACTTCAAGCGAGCTTTAAAGGCACGACTGGCTGCGGAGGAGGCTCTAGCACAGCTGCAGATCAACCAGGAGGGAGACATGGGTGAGCCTCAAAATAATGATGTGGTTGTCCCGGATGAGCACACCATGGGATATTACTGGACCGCCAGAGCCGGAGACATGAGGTCTCCCATCCAACACCCTCAAGTTACAGCCAATAACTTTGAGGTGTATCATTAATTGGTTAATTGGTTTCATTGGTTAGCAGCGTTGAAACTAAACCAAACCACCTAAACCAAATAAGCTAAATTGTTTAAACAAAACAAACCAATTCTCCAAATTAACCAAACCAAATTAACCGAATGCTACTGGTTAATATGGTTACCAAGGTAACCAATCCGTTTGTACATCCCTACTTGCATGGGTCTTATTGACAAAGCTGGAACCATGTTCGCAGTTTGATGCCTGGTGTACTAATAGAGAGTTCGTTTGGTCATACCTCATGGTGACGGGGATTTAGAGGGAGAGGAGTTTCTCACAACTTCCGAACCTTCGATGAACAGAGGGTTAGAGTTAAGAGCAGCAAGCAGATGCTTCTTTCCTCTCTTATTTCTAGGAGGAGATGTCCTTTGATCAGCTGAATTAGAAGTATACCACTCATATACTCAATACTTTGAGCAAACCTTTTTCTTTTTAAACTTTTTGACTTTCTCCTTGGTTAGTGAAAGGTTCATGCACAAGAAAGTGGCCGAGTTTAGAAAGCAGAACGGCCCCCTCAAGAATTGGCGCCCCTATAACAGAAATTTGAAGGATTTCTATCGCTATGGTCCCTATTTGTTGAATCACTATACATAGTTCTTGGACTCCATCCACGAATAGAAACACACACAAAAATTTACCCGAGCCGAATTTAACTCGTTGAATCGATGGCAGGATAAGGGTTTGACAATCTTGCTCTACACAATATACTTTTTTTCCCTTTCAAAGTAGATGTCATTTTGGTAAACATGATTAATATATATTTTTCCCATAAAGAATTGAATTCTAATTTAAAATGAAAAATATACAGTCCTTTATATTTTAATGTTGAACAAACTGTTTATTGGCCAGATTGATTTTGGATCCACCAATCGAGCACAAAGGTCATTTGAAATCTTTTTAACAGCTATTAGTTTGAATAATTTGACTAATACAGGAAATGGAGCCTCTTTTCGTTTCGTTTTGCTTGATGAATATCCATATAATTAATTATAAGGGGAATGGAGTCTTTGTTTATCAGGTCAATGGCCGATCGGAAGAATGCTGATGGCTTCGTCGGCCGACGATGTGTTTACAGCGATTTGCGGTGGCACATTTGTGTACCCGGCGGTCATGCATGAGCAGTATCAAGACATCCGGGTGACCAACCGAGACGGTGTTACACTCGGTTCGATTCGGGAGATCACTTATGGACATGGTAAGTACTTATTAATCATTTTAATTATTATATTTTTGATTTTAACATGCAATTATTATCTATATATATATGATGCAGCCATCTCACGTATGGTTTCACGGGCGACCGAGGAAATCACCCGGATTGACCACACTAGTCGAACCATTGAATCTAGGTTCAAGCCTAATGCCCTAAGCACATTCAATGAGTTTATAGGTTCTGATCTCTTACGTGACCCTAGCGAAGTTGTTGGCCAAAACTTATGAAGAAAATGGTAGATATATATTTCGCGAAGGTTACTGCAACTTCAAATTATGTTTTCTTGTTGACTACGCGCCAGGTTGCTTTGTGGAAGTCCCAGCAGAGCGCGCACTCCTCTGATTGGTTGCGTGTTGTTCCTATTGCTGGTTTGGGCCAGACTATGAATGGAAGGACATATCGTAGTGTGCTCACTCAGTTATCGACTGGGTGTCCCGTTGTTTTTGGTGCCTAGGCCCTTTCTGCTTGTTCCCGTGTCTTTGATGGTGATGTCCTTGGGGATCATGCTGTCTCCAGTGCTGTTATTGTGGGCATTAAGCATCGGCATAACCTTGTTCGAGGCACCTAATTGGAAATATGTTACAGGTCTTTGATTTCTGTTGGAAAGGAGGTTGATATCGGTTTGTTTGATGGGCATGGCGGACCCCTTCGTTCTGCGGATTTGCTGCTTTATTCCTAGGATATGGGGCGAGATGTGTTTATTGATCTGACTGGGTCTTCACCTTTCACTCGGACTGGGATGACCGATTTTGTGAGCCGAGTTGTTGCTGATGCTGCTCGGCAAAAGTGTGCTAAGTATCGGGTCTTGTGCATAGCGGCTGGTTACGGGTTCCTGCCATTTTCTTTCTCTTCACTGGGAGAGTTGGATACGGATGCTGTGGTTTTGCTCAAGCGCATCCAGAAATATTGTGGTGTGCATTGTGAGATTGGTCAACGAACTTCGTTGACCGGTCAACGATCACCGGATATTGTGGTGTGCATTGTGAGATTTATGGTTTGGTTTCTCATATTTTTTGTATGCATCTCGTGGTTTGCTTTATCATGTTTCTGGTTTGCACTAAGAAGTTTCTGGTGTGCTTTCGAAAATAAATTTGATTTGCTTTGTGGTGTTTCTGATTTGTTTTAATAGAATTTTGGTCTGCATTAGGACGTTTCTGGTTTGTTTTTGTGGTTTGCTTTATCGTGTTTGTGGTTTGCATTATGAGGTTTCTGGTGTGTTTTTTAAATTTTTTTGGTTTGTTTTGTGGGGTTTCTGCTTTGTTTTAACAACATCTTAAGTGTTGTTATACTATCCGCACCCGTTTTACAAACATCGGTTTCTTTCTCCTTCTATGTATGCATATGCGTGTATATATATATGGTGACTTCAGACTATATATTATATGCCCGAGCGTGCGCTAACATTATCGTATGCCCGTTGAGTTTTGCTATTTTAGATTTTTAATTAGTCAAAGTTTGGGGTATGATACTATATCTTAAACTTTAATGGGTGAATCTCAGTCTATAATTTTCTAACCCAAATCATGACATTCGTTTAATTTTAAAATGAATAATCATCGATAGAATTGTTGATTTTCATTTCAACGCCTCTTGTCCCCCGATCTGCCCGTAGCCATCGTAGAACATCAGCCCGTTGTAAGACTCTTCCTCTGTTGCTGTTGCTGCATCGTCTTCGTCGTCATCGCTTTGGTCCTCATCGTGGTCACCACCATCACGGTGATTAAGAGCACGTACGAGAGATGTAAGCGACTTCCCTCCAATGAGTCTTTCTGATGCGGGATAGTAGGGTTGGTCAGCTCGTATACATAAATGGTAGTTTTTTCGGAGGAAGCAAAGAAGTGCTTGTCTGACTAGAAATCAAACAAAACCTGTTTAAACCTAAAATTAATTTGAATTAATTAAATGTCGTATTGATGAGTCTCCGCATTTATTCGATGTCGCACGATACAAAACGGTGTCGTTTGGAATCAAGCAATGTCGCGGAGAGTGAAAACGACACCGCAAGGAAGCTCGCCGACATCGCGGTTGTAGACACCACATTTTGTCCGGAACGACCATTCTACTCAAAACCCGAAAGACAATCCAACTTAAGAAGAAAACTTAAGTGAAAATTCGGACGAGGTGGGTTGAGATTAGCAGTGGCCGATCAATAAATACCGCCGACTTTCAAGTCCGTTTTGTTTGGTTTGAACATTTACGTTTGGTAAGACTAGCAGTAGCTAATGGGTACCAAACTCACTTTATTTAGAATAGCAAATGTCTGGTAAGATTAGCAGTAGCTAATGGATACCAAACTCACTTTATTTAGAATAGCAATAGTATGCTATCATGACTTATACTAGTACCACTGTTAACGATTAGTGACACAGGTTTGAAAATAGGTCAATTGAGATAAGAAGGCCATAGTAATCCTACTAACATTGGTCAAAATGCATAATTGTGAACTACTTATTTAAGAAGTTGGGTTGTGGGTCACGATTGGGAGAAAGAATAAACAAACTAGGTGGAAGTAAATCAATTGAATAGTTGGCCATACAATAATTACATGACTATTCCAATTATAAGTTGCAAAAATAATTACAGTATAATTACAAAATAATTACAAAATACGAATGTACAACTAATGATTATTACATTTTTTCAAAGAGCTAAAGATGAATAATAAGAGGAGATTTCTTTCGTTTGGGCACCAATCAGAGTTGGAGGCCTTGCCAATTAAGGCTGTTTGGGCCCCCATTGATCATCATTTTGGGCCGGAAACGGACTAGGGACCTGCAAACAAAAAAAAGGAAAATATTAGAAGAGCAGCCCAAAATAAAAACCCACAACCCAGGCCCATATTCCGGCCCAATTGACTCTGGTCAACTTGGTCGACCCGGGTCAACCCAATCAAGTATGGTCAGCCCGGGCCAACTCTGGTCAACCCCGTCAACCAAACCCATCATTCTTATCTAAAGGAGCAGCAGAGCAGCAGAGCAGCAGAGTTTCTGCCAAATCTCAAAAAGAAGATTTCGGCCACCTCCTCCAAGGACCAATCCCAAATTGCCAACAACATAAGTGGCTAAGGCCACCACTTCAAGAGCAAAGGAGGAACAGCCAACACACAGGTATGAACAGTAAAAGGCAGCAATATATAAGGGGCTATCTTGCCCCAAACAAGGGGGGGAGAGGACCAACAAAAAAAAAGACACAAAAAGGAGACGAAGACATTAAAGCACTAAGCACCAAAAGAGGCAGACCAGAAGCAATAAGGATCCAAAAAGGGCAGGGAGTCAGAAACAGCAACAAACTATCGCCATCAAACTTCACCAAATTTGCAACACAGGTTGGTATTTTCTACACCTCATCAACCATACAAGCATCTAGTCATCCATACATCCATGAAGGAAAATTCATTTAACATGTTTGTAAATGATGATTGCTTCTAATTTCATAATCCATAGTTAGGTTGCTTAAGTCTGTATGTGAAGTGGGTATTACGAAATTCTGATCTTTGTGACATGTATGCCTCTTTATGCCATTTATTTTTTTTCATGCTACAATAGACAGTTCCCTTTTATTACCAACATACAATGAATTAGTTTAAAATGCCTTTCAGTTTTTCTAGCAAGCATAATTCTTGCTAAGTTGCTAGCTGAACTTAGCAATAATATCAGCTAGGCTATTTCATTCACTCTTTCAACATACCAAAAATCCAGCAATCTACTCAAAACACAAGATAGGATTCAAACCAGATGTTTGAGAGAGTATTTTAAAATACCTCATTTTATGTTTAAGGGCGTCCCTTTTTCTTTACTCAACTACCAGATTTGGTAATCACAAAGTTCTCATTTGATTATCATTTTGTATGCTAAATACAATAAAACACTTTCATTAAAAATTCCATTTGTTACTAATCAGTATTAGTCTTTTAATCAAATTGTTTAACCAATCGATAGTCATAAGCAGTAGCTATGATGTCGTATTACCTTTAGGACCATTATAGATTTTCAAATTTTAATAAAGCAAGTTCTCCACCATGTCCAAAACCAAACATTAAGGCTAAACAAACCTAGGAGGAGTTCTAACAAAATTAACTTTCGCAATACCAGAGAGTTTTATAAACAATCATAACGATAACTAAATCACCCATTTTAGGTTTAGAAGAGGTATCACCTAGTTTCTTTCAAACTGAATAGATCTGCAAAAATCAAGGAAATCGAGAGTTAGAATCCCAAAAAATGATAATAGATAAAAAACGAAAATAGTGAAATATAACCTACCCACAACCAAATCCTCGCCGTCGGCTCTGGTGCAGGCCGCGCCGCCGGCGACCGCCGCCCTTCCCTTCCTTCCCTCGGCAGAGATCCGAAACCATAAACTGTAAAAACAAAAGAAAACGTAACCCGAAGATCAGAACCCGGTTTCTGAGATAGAAAATCAAAAGAAAATCGACATGCAAACCTAGGGGAGTCGTCCCTTACCCTCGCCGCAATCGCCGCCGCCGAGCCCTCCTCGGTTTAGGAATTTCTCCGGAAATGAAAAAGAAAACGAGAAGAAAATTAGTAGAATCCAAATAATAATCAGAGAAACAGAGATAAAAGGACCATGCATGTATCGATCTTACCTAGATCGAGGCCATCTCGGTTGATTTCGTCTAGTATGAGCGGTCTTTTAGGCGAATCGAACAGGGAGAGGGGCGGCTGTTTTTAGGTTTCGATTTTGGTTCTCTGGTATGGAAGGAAGAAGAAGAGGAGGGCGGCGCCTAGGTTTTCGTTTTTTTGAAGGGGAGAGGGAGAGCAGCGGCGGCGGTATGAGATGGGGCTAGGGTTGGTTTCTCTGAGCGAGAGAGAGAGGCGAGAGGTTGAGAGTGTATTTGGGGCCAGGGTTTCGGGCGGCTAGGGATTGGGTCTCTGGGAGAGACGAGAGAGTGAGAGGGGAAGAAGAGAGGCGGCCACAACGGCCTCTTAGGGTTTCTAGGGAGGAATTTATAGCTGTTTGTGCAAAATGACTATTATGCCCTTAGGGTTTCTAACAAATTACGTGGCCTTGCCACCGTCCTTTTGAGTAATTACCAAGCTGCCCTTCCCCCATCTCTACACTAAAACGAGAAACCAAAAAATAAAATGCTGCAGGAGATTCGAACCCGCGTCCTCGGGGGGGCAGAGACGCAACGATTATTAGGCCAGCTAGTTGGGCTGCTAGTCCATCATTTGTTACTTCAACCATCCCGTTTAATTATATTTTGTTTAAAGCTCTTAATACGAAATGTTGAATGCGGATTAAATTCCTTTTGTTTCTTTTCTAATACATCAAAATATTTCCCAATGACTAAAATCCTTGCAATAATCAATTTAAATTTTATTAACAAAGTTATAATACGATATTTACGTCCAGTGGGACGTGATAAAATTACACCCAAAACGATCAAAGTCAAGAACCACGATCAGTGGAACGTGGTTAAGATTACATTTTAAATTATCAAAGTTCTAACGAACTACGTGGACTTTGATCCCGTCTAACGGGTACGTAGGCAACCGATAGGGTTCGAGTCCAACTAACCAATTTTCTTTATCTTTTACGTCAGTGGACGTATAATTAAATTACAATTAATACGATTTAATTTCTTAAATAGTCCAGTGGGACCCTAAAAATTGA